TCAAAGTTTCACAAGTTTATAGATGGGACTTTTCAAAGGTGGCTGGATCTCCTGTATGACAAAATTAGTCCACAGACTGGTTTAGTGTAGTTCTGGATGTGCATAATATGACCCAGCATGTGTGAGTGCTCCCCACACTAAGTGTGTGTTACCTGGGGTAAAAATAAGGACAGAAAGAGGGCTGCTGTTACTACTTGCTACTTTACTGCTTCGTTGCCTTCCTGTGTTCTGTCCACCATGACCTGTTTCTCCTCTGATGCCCCTCTGCCATGCTACCCTACCTTGGAGCCAGACAACAATGAACTGAAATCTCTACAAACTGAGCTGCAGTAAACCTTTCCTCTTTTGAGTATTATTTTGTTTCAATAAAAAAAAGTAAGACACTAATGTTTCAAGGACCATTGAACAGGAGTAGTGATAATGGACATCCTTGTTTTGTTCCTGATTTTAAAGGGAAGGCTTTCAGCTTTCCCCCACTTAATATATTTACAATAGGTTGGTCATAAGTGATGTTTATCACATTGAGATAAAGGTCTTCTATGTTTATTTTCTTCAGGTTTTGTTTTTAAATCATGAATGTTAGATTTTTTGAAAAGGGTTTTTTCTGTATCTATTGAGATGATCATGTGATTCTTGTCCTTGTATATTTATTGATTTGCATGTGTTGAACCACTTTTGCCTCCTTGGGATGAAACCTTGTTCACAGGCCTCAACTTCTTAATGATTTGTTTCACCGTATCTTCTTAAAGATTGTTTCATCTATATTCACGAGAACTTGACCTATGGCTCTCTTTTTTGGTTAGATCCTTGTCTGATTTTAGAATCAAGATGTTGGTTTCCAATGATTTTGGAAATACTCATTTTCTCTCATTTTCATTAATAACTTTGGAGTGTTGCTGTTAGAGTTTCCCTGAAGTTATTTTAGAACTTTCTTGTGAACCTTTCAGGTTCTGAGTTTTTCAGTTGAAAGTTTGTTTACTACTGCTTCAGTTTATAGCACGTTCAAGATTTTTAAGTCTTCTTGATTCCATTTCAGCAATTCACTCCATTTCTTCTGAGCTCTCCAATTGTTTAGTATATATGAAGTATTTATGAAGTCATTGTTAGTAACTTTCTGGTTTTGGCAGTGCTAGTGTGGTTTCACTATCTTTATTTCTAATTGCATTGACTTGTGCTAATTGCATTGACTTGTCCTTTGCTTTTTCCTTTAAGTAAGATTAGCTAAAAGTGTATTTCATTTATTCTTTCAAAGAGCCATTTCTATGATTCACTGATTCTTTGAATTGTTTTTTGGCTCCATTTCATTAATTTCCGCTCTAATCTCTACATAATCTCCTTCTTATGTATGCTCTGGGTTTGAATTTTTTTCTAAGTCCTTTAGATGCATCACAAGATTATTTATTTGTACTCATTCTATTTTCCTGGTGTGACCATTCACTGTTATAAAATTCTCTCATAGGACTGTTTTCATTGTGTTCTGTAAATTTTGATTGGTTTACTGGCATTATGATCTAATTATTTCTTGCTTAATTTCCTCTGTGAACCAAAAAAGCCAAGTGTGTTGTTTAATTTCCATGTTGCAGTTTCTGTGGTTTCTTTTGATATTCATTTCCACTTTTGTTGCATTGTAATCTTGTAATATGCATGGTTCAATTTGTTTTGCATTTACTTTGGCATGGTTTATTAACTAGCATGTGGTCCGCTTTGTAGATAGTATCACACATGGCCAAAAATATTGTGTATTCTGTTGTTCAGCAACACACTGTATATATCTATTAAGTCCATTTGTTCAAAGGTTTGGTCCTACTCTGCTATTTCTTTGATGGTTTTGTTTAGCTGATTCATCTACTTGTGATAGTGGGGTAATGAGATGCTCTACTATAATTGTATTGATGTTATCTAATCTTTTATTATTCATTAGAGTTCGTTCTATGATTTTGGATGCAGTGTGGTTTGGTGTGTATGTCTGTAATTTGTTATCTCTTCCTATTGAATAGTTTCATTCACTAATTCATAATGTACTTTTTTGTCTCATCAGCTTTGGCTTGAAACCTACTTTGTATAACAAGATAGCACCCAAGTGTGGTGGTGTACACTTGTAATCTCAGCACTTGGGAGGCTGAGGCAAGAGGATCACCATGGGCTCAAGACCAGCCTGAGCTACATATTGAGTCCAAGGCCAACCTGAACAACATAGCAAGACCCTGTCCCCACCATACAAACAAAAAAAACCAAATAGCTACTCCTGCTTGTTTTGAGGTTCCTCTTGTGTAGAATATTAGTTTTTATCCTTTTGCTTTTAGTCTATGAATTTTTGTTAAATGTGTTTACTGTATACAACATACTGATAATGTTTCATTCTGCCAAAATGTTACCTTCTGATGGCCCAAGTTGAGTCCACTTACATTGTTATAATTGATAGGTACTGACTTATTCCTGTCATTGTATTAATTTCCTGTTGCTGTCTTTTCCCTCCTACTTATTTTATTGGACCTTTTGATATTATCTCTGTCTTCTTTTAGAATATCCTTGTGAATTTTTTGGAGGGTTGGTTTGATGGTTATGAGTTTTGTTCTCTTCTTTTCTTTTCTTTTTTTTTTTTTTTTTTTTTTGGCAGAACCAGGGATTGAACTCAGGCCCTTGCACTTGTCAAGGAAGCGCTTATTCCACTGAGCCATCTTCCCGGCTCCTTATTTGTTTTTCTGAGATAGGATTTCATCATGCAGCCTAGGCTGGCCTTGAGCTCATTTTGTAGCTCAGACTGGCCACAAACTTGCAGTGATTCTCCTCCTGAGTGCTGATTACAGGTGTGTGCCACCACACCAGCCTATGAGTTTCTTTAGGTTTTATTATGGGAGTGTTGCATTTCTCTATCAATTCTGAAAGAAAAAGCCAAGCATGGTCATACATGCCTATAATCCCAACACTTGAGAGACTGAGGTAGGATTGCTGTGAGTTTTGAGACAAGCCTGAGGTACATAGTGACTCTGAAGCTACCCTAAACTACATAGTAAATCCCTCTCTCAAAAAAAAAAAAAAAAAAAAAATTGTTTTAAAAGATAATTTTGCAGTATGCAACAGTCTAGCTTGCAAGTTGTTTTAATAGCTTGAAACACGTCACTTCATGTTCTTTTTGCCTTTAAGGTTTGTGGAAAGAAAGAAATTTGTTTTCTGTTAGTACCAGGAATTGAACTCACAACCTCACTTTTGCCAGGCAGGCACTGTGCCACTGAACTATTATCCCTAGCCCCAGAAATGTTAATTTTAAAGAGCTTTCCCTTGTAAGTAATTTGTTGCTTTTCTCTAGCAGGCTTTAAAGATATTGTTCTTGTGCTCTATTTCTGGTATGTTAATTATTACATGGTGTGAAGTGGTTTTTTGTTGTTTTTTGTTTGTAATCATGGCTTTTAGGGTTCTACATGCTTCATTCACCTGTCCGTCTGGTATTACTTGTGCAAACAATTTTTTATGGTCTTTTGTGCTGTCTTCTGATTACAGATACTCCCTGTTTAAAGACACACCTGTTTAGTTATTATTCAGACTTACATCCAAGACACACTGTTTGGGAAGGGCCAGCCAAATAGCTCAGTGGAGGGCTGGGGTTCCATCCCTCAGCCTGCTGTGCCAGCCCCGCCCCATGGGCGTGCTGAGATGGCAACTGAGACTGGGCATGATAGCACACACCAGTAATCCCAGCTCTTGGGAGGCTGGAAACAGGCAGATCACTACAAGTCCAATCTAGTAGTGAGACCCTGAACACCCTGTAGGCCCTTCCCTAAAACTACAGGAAAAAACAAACAGACACACTGTTTGGACTTTAACCCATCACTTAAGACTTGCAACCCATATTTAGATTTACAACACAGAACATGCGTAGTGCAGTGTTATGGTGGCTTCTATTTCTGTACTGTAATGTACACAGTATATACAATTCCTCACCTACTAAACAATTCATTTAATCAACTTAAGGAACTTGTCACAAGAATGGAACTCAGTCATTAAAACAAGAAATATTTATACTCTCAACTCTCATTAGTCCTCTTTGAGTCATCCGGAATTGTTACATCTTTCTGCCACGTCCTCATTTCTAAGGTATGATTTTTTGCCTTTTGTGTTTGTTTTTGACATAAGGCCTCACTCTGTAGTCCAGGCTGGCCTTGAACTCACTATGTTGCCTAAGCTAACCTCAAACTCAGCGACTGTCCTGCTTCAGCCACTGAAATGCTGGAACCATAGGTGTGTGCCACCATGCTGCCTTAAGTTACCTTTCATTAATTTTGCTGGCCACAGCCCTGTCCTCTAGGTCTGACACTCTTGTCTTCATATCGGTCACTTCTGCTACCCATACTTTCAATCATTTTAGTCTCTTGGGTTTTTATTTGGAACTTTCTTATAGACTCCCATTCTTTTCTATGCTGGGTATTTATGTTTTGTATCTCTTTCTTTGATGCCAGTACCTGTTTATTAGTGTCTTCTCTAGATTCACAGATCATTTGTTTTATTGTAGTCATTACAGAATTAGTTATACTTCATTTAAATTCATCAAGTACCTTATAGAACTGTTTTCTCTCCCATGGTACCCTTTCAGACCTATCTGTTCTGTAGCTTTGATTTTTTTCCCCCAGTACCAATTCTGGGGGTCTTGGGAGTTTTAGGAAGCATTTTATTGCCTTGTCTTTTCATGTTTGTGGTTTTCAGGGGGGCTAGAGTTTGCAAATTCTTTGGCCCAGTACCCTGTTCTTCAGCCAATAACCTGAAATCACAAGGGTAGTCACTCTGAGGTGTGACAATGACAAAGAACAGAAGGAAGGATTCTGAGTCTTTTTCAACATCTTTGAGTTTCTGAGTTACCACCTGCAAAATGTCCCCACTTCTGGACTCACTTTAAGAAACAGATCTCCACATAAATGTAGTGTACATTAAGTTTCCTATTTCAACCAAAAAATTTCTAAATTTTATCTTTTCTCAGTATGATCAAAACAATAAGTTTAACGTATTTATTTTAATATTTTATTCGAAAGAGTTGCTTTAAATGTTTGTAAAACATCAACCCATTATTACTTTAACATTATAAAATTTAACTTCAAGTGGTAGAAGAAACAAAATATATGTAATGGGACTGATTATAGTTCAAGAGTATAGTGATATGCAAACTGAAAAACTCACCATCACCAAAAAATCCCACCAACCAATCTTCTATCAGGCATGTCTATGTTTTATTGTCTTTTAGATGATATTTCTTGAAAATGTACATTTTTCAAAGAATCAGCCCTTACAAACAGAGATAATCTTTCAAAAAATAAAATTCAGTATCTGAATTCTCAGGACTCATAAAACCAATTAGAAATGTCTGGCTGTCAGCTAGTCACATCACACTCACGCTGCTTCACACCACAAGTGATGATCCATGACTAACATCAGGAGGCAAATCCCAATTCCAAGGGTTTCTAAAAACTACATTGTCTTATTGCTGAATTGTACACAATGCATTTTCTTTGGCAACTTTATCAATTAACACTATGGGATAATTATAAGGGTTTGATTAGCTTAGTATTTCAAAATTGCATAATTATTTAAATGTAACTTCTAATAGATGTTAGAATAGGAAAGCCTTCAGTCATGCCTAATATAATCACCAAAAAGATTTACCAAAAAAATTACCACTACTGAAAAGTCTTTCAGTTGTATGTACAAATACACAATTTAACTCAGTTTTACCAAGTGAAAATATTACACTGTTAGTGCCAATTACCATCAGATCTTCTGTGATAAAGGACAAAAATAAATGTTGTAAATGATGTATGTCAATTCTTCTGCAAGGCTGTTTCATATAAGTTAAAACAGCTCAAAATTTGCCAGGATTTTATATTAATTCTTACTATAATATTTTAAAATACTAATTTTAAATGCTCCATGGAGTAAACCTATTTTGAAGGCTTAGCACAATAACGAAGAAATTTAAACAGGAAAGTTTAAGCCCTGCAGTTTAAGAAATCTTTTCTATATATAACAAAATTACCAACTTCAATGGATTCCACTAAAAAGCATCACTATAAAACTCACACAAAGTAAATTGAAATACATATGGCAGAATGTGCAATCCAAAGCATGGTCACACAACACAGTAAATGATAAAGGTTAGGCAACAAAAGTTCAAATTAACATATATGTGAACGGTTGTGTGCAAATTTTCATGAATAAGAAATTATTCATTTGGAACATTTTATATACAGCTTGTTTACAATTTAAAACAAGTACAATTGAAAACATTTCTATGAAAAAACCACAATAAAAACAAATAAAACACTGAATAACAGTCTTACAAACTGGTCTCTCTCAGGAATTTTTAAGCAAATAGCTGTGTGGTACTATTCTAAGAAATGCCCTCTTCCTGCTCAATCATTTCTGTTTTAACTGAAAACACATCTGCCAGCATGTGTTTTGGAATTTCTGAACCCCGGACTTTCAGGGCATAACAAGCATTCTCCACTTTGGCCAGGCTCTGTTTCAAGGTGTACAGCTTCTTAGAAACTTCATAAGGCCCTGTGTTGCCAATGAATGAGAACCCATCATAAACCTGACGTAAAAACTGGCTGACTTCAAAGGGTGTGTCAATGTCCCCATTCCCCACACTGTTAATACACATCCGCATCAATTCTCCAGTTAAATCAGCCACTCGAGGAGGTAATCAACAGGCGTGATTCTCAGGCTCCAAGTGAGCAGCTGCTTTTCCTGTGCATCAGAGGAGGGCTGGTATAAAACAAAACAAAAGGCCAGAGAAACACACAAAAGAAAACATACTGTGAAAAGGCTAATAGAGTAGGTATCACATTATGATAAAGTATGAAGTCAACATTGAGTCAGTCATGCTAATACTCTCCAAGTGTAAACCCTCTGTGAAGCTGTACAAGGAACTGGGGTCCAGTCCTGGACACAGACCTGAAACAGATCACTTAAGATATTTTTGAATACTGCCATTGTAAAACCATTTCCACTTCACAAACTAAAAACATTCTTAAACTAGGCTTACAATTGCTGCATGACAACCACTATTTAAATGACAATTACAAAGCCCACCAATATTCATGTTTTCCTTATTCCTTTAGTTTCTGGTCTCCCTTCCCTACTCAGCACTGGCCATCACCATTTCTTCCTCTCCTCACTACATCCTCAATTCCCTTACTGTTCTCTATTTTCTACCATAGCTGCCCTGCAAAAGCAGAATCTTGCCTGGTGTGGTGGTGCACACCAGTAATCCCAGCACTCGGGAGGTTGAGGTAGGAGGATCATTGCAAGCTTCAGGCCTGCCTGGACAACGCAGTGAGTTCAAGCCCAATCTAGAATATACAGACCCTGTCTCAAAACAAAACAAAAATCCCCTGATGGGGAGATAGCTTAGTGGTCTAAGTAACCGCCTGACAACTGTAAGGTCCTGAGTTTGATCCCAGATACAAAAAAAAAAAAAAAAGAAAGAAAGAAAGAAAGGCAGGCCGGCCGGCCAGCCAAGGCAAAAACCCCCAAACCCAGAAACTTCAATGAATAATATTAAAATTAACTTATCAGTCCTTTATTGACCGAAGATAATCAAGTTAAAAAAAAAAAAAAAATCCCAACTGTATGGAGGTTGTACTACTACAAATTACTCATGAATCCTTTCCATCAGTGTTGGCAACTCTTAAAGGTAGTCTAGAATGCCTTTTACATAAACAGATGTGTATGCATCTTTGGGATGCCAGAGGCAAAATGTTATGGTTTGTGTCTAGTTGTCCCCGAAAGCCTCACACAGTCATGGGGTGGACTTCAAGACTTTATGATTAACTCATGATCCAATGCTGGGATTATGGCTGTGTGAGCTGCTAAGGTTATGGGTGAGAGTGCTGCACTGGCCCAGGGTGGATAGCCTGAATGCAACATAAGAGAGACAGGCTTGCTCTCTGTTACCCTTATTGCTGCTACTCCTCCCTTTTGCTCTTGCTGTTTTGCTATTTTCTGCCGCCATGCAACTCTGCCATGTGCCCCTCTGCTTTGGAGCCAGCTGTGTATGGACTGAAACGTCCACAAACTGTGAGCTAAATAAACCTTTCCTTCCTTCATTTTGGGCATCAGATATTTTGTCCCAGCAATGAGAGAAGAGTAAATAAAACAACAAACACGTGAGGCACACCTGTAATCACAGCACTCTGGGAAGCTAAGGCACACAAGTTCAAGTTCAGCTTGGGGAGGTTAGTGACTAAGACCCTGTATCAAAATAAAGAATAAAAAATAAAAAGGGTGGGATATAGCACAATTAGGTTCAATCCCTTGCACCACAAAAATAGATAAAATTAGTTTGCAATGTCCTAGAGTTCACAGAAAAAGAACACACTGTGGGAGACTAGAGGAAAATTCAGGCTTAACGGTCTCCTCTGTGAGCACGAAACAGATGGCTTATACAGTGTAAGTTGTTTACCTGAGCATGTACTGAAGGACACCGGAAGGCAGCTGAGCCTTGTGTTACTTTAACTAGATGAATAAAAGGGGTTGGGGCTCCTCTGCTCCTCTGTCCTACAGGCAAGAGCCCCTGGCTGCCTCACGTAAACTGACTCTGTCACTCATCTTCATTCACCCTTGGGTCAAGGCAACAAACCAGAAGCAGGACTAGGTCTCTGCAAGCAATGCCTGGGTGGGCTGGTTCCCCAAGAGTGGCACCTGAGGCAAGGGCTTGAGGACAGTGGTGTGGACTGGTCTCTGACAACAAATGACTTGTAAATGTATTAAATGCTTGATGTCATTTATAAAAAAGAAAAAGACATTAAAACACTAGGACACTATTTCTTACTCATCAAGGTTAGTAAGACCAGAGTGTGACAATGTTAGCAAAAGTCTTTAGTGGTTCTCCTTCCAGCCTCTTCAAACATTATTCTGAAACATCACCATTCTCCTCAGGCTTTCCCTATTCAATTTGAAACCTGTTCAGTGTCAGCAGACAATGTTACCTAACTTCCTGGACCACTCACTTGCTAGACTATCTCACATAGCTTTTCTCAGCTATTTTTAACCTTACCAAGAGAACTATAGTTCTGTCTGCACCTGTCTTTACCTTCCATCATACAGTCAGGACATGTTGGCTCTCCTTTTACCAGAAGCTAACTCTTCCAAGTGACGCTAACCATCTCCTCCCACCTCTTCCAGAACTTTGCTTCAGCAGGTACAGGCCTTTGGGCAAATTACTTCATCTCTCTAAACATGTTTCCTCATCTGTAAAGTGGGAGAACAGTATCTACCTCCAGGGTTTATTTATGGATGAAATGCAATAGCAGTAACAAATTCTTGGCATAATGCCCAACACAAGTAAGTGATAAATGTTGGCTATTATCTGTATTATGTAACTTTTATCTCTCCACATCAATTTCTCTGTTCTTTCTGGGTTCCTTTTAGTAAAGAGACACTAGGACTTAGCAAGGCAAAGCTACCTTTAAATCTGAGGTCATGTTAAACAGCAAAAACTGCAAAGATGTGTAAGTAAGAACTGTGTATTGTATCTGAAGAGCTAATAAAGCATTTCTTTAATTAAAGATACAGACCTTAAAGGTTGAAACCAGGAAAACAGATGGGGCAGAATGTCACAATATGGAATTAAGAGCTTTACTTGTTGGAAATGAAAAATAAGGAAATAGTAGCTGAACTTCAGCTGAATTAAAATCTTTCTGGTTGCTGTGCTTCTAATACACAAATCTTGGATTCTTTAAACTATTTGGGCCAGTGCCCTCATCAAAAACTTAAGAAATGAACTCCAAAAAGAACAGCACAGGTTAAAATAGCTGGGGGAAAAAAATCAACAAGGGGCAGATACCCAAAGCCTGCTTCCCAATCATTCTGATACTTTTTAAACATAATAATATAAAAGTAGCTGCTGTGTTGTTTCTATTAATTATCAGAAAACTAGCATTTCTCATAAAAGGTAGACTGTGATTGGGTACAAGTTGGGAGAGGTACATTTCATGTGCCATTTATAAAAACAAACCTCAATTAAGCAAATATTAATGTTCTTTGTTATTCTTAAAAAAGGTCCACTCACAAGTTTTTAAAGAAGGAAGCACTTTTAAACATTAACAAATTCCAACTAATAAACTGTCAAAGAAATAAAATTATTTAAATTAGAAAAACAAAACAAAACAGATTTGAGCAGAGTGGTGCATGCCTGTAATCCTAGTACTTGGAGACTAAGGCAGGAGGACTACCCCACATTTGCAGGCAACCTCGGCTACATAGTAAGACCTTGTCTCAAAAAATCAAAAAGAAATAAATTTACTTAAACTAATAGCATTTCTAGATGGACACTGAAGTTTTTAAGGGTAAAATATCACATTTTAAATTTATGGTTTAGCCTCAATCTAAACTTTTAAAATGATTTAACCAAAAATATTTAGACAAGGGGCTGTGGATAGCTCAGTACAATAAGCACTTGCCTGGCAAGCGCAAGGCCTGAGTTCAATCCCCAATTCCACAAAAAAAATAAATAAATACAAATATTTAAACAAAGTATACCAAAATATTTCACAATTAGTAAATTCCTTAGTGGATATACACGCATTCATTGTGCTTCTATTCTTTACTTTGATGTATGTATTTGAAATTTTTCATAATAAAATTTTGAAATTTTTCATAATAAAATTTTTTAAATTTAATGGTTTTGACCATAGTCTCAATAGGCAAGTCAAAGAAAGAACATACTTCTTGTTCCCTATTAAAATCCCAAAACTTTCAGCACCAAGAATCCTTAGTACTAACAGGAATAATTATTTCTGAATATAGTCTTAATAATTTGAAAAGCTTGTATAAATATCAAAGCACCACAGCCAGGTATGAGAGGCTGAAGCAGAATTGCCATGAGTTCAAGGCCAGCATGGGCTACATAGTGAGTAGCTCCATTTGAAACCCTGGCTCTCTATTCCAACTCACACAGCTTTTGGTCAGTTACTCCCTAAAAGCCCTTTTGTTGACTTCATTTTGAGGCTGAGTCTTGCTGTGTAGTTCAGGCTGGCTTTGGACTCACTCTTGTAACCCATGCCTGTCTGAACTCACAGCAATTCTCCTGCCTCAGCCTCCCACGTGCTGGGATTTTAGGTGTATACCACAAGGCCCCGCTAAAAGTCCACTCTTCTCTTTATAACGTAGTACAGTGATTCTTACCACACAAGGTTAATAAAATAAAATGATAGTGCTTATAATGCTTTACGTAAAAGGATACTACTTTCTTCAACATACCTCTAGCTGCTGTTGCACTTTTCCTATCCCTAACTAAAGTTTTTAAAAGACCATTTCCCTGGTTGAGAATGTGAAACCACATGTTAAACAGAACATCCCAACTTAATCTTAATACTTTAAGAGAGTAGGTTTTCTATAATCATTATGCTGCTATATAAATTACATAATAAATGTGAAATAAGACTTAAGTTCTCACAGTCTTGTTTTCTTTTCCACTGTCTTCTGTTGTAAATATTAACTGTTTATTAATTTCATCCATGCTGATTAATGATCGTGTTTTGATGAAATGTTGAAAAGAGACAGCTTCTACATACTCCTGCAGTCCTGAGAAACAAAAAAAGGAAAATATTAAAAACAAAAACTAAACTCACAAGAAAATCATAATAAAAAGCTTCAAATTGGCCAGTGCCCAGTGTCAGCCACAACAGTCTTGACGGTTGTTCCCTGCAGCTGCACCAAGTGAGGCAGCGCCCAGGGCCCAGGGACATCACCCAGGCCTCACTACCTCTGCCCGACGGCAAGAGCCATCCACGTCCACGCCTCACTGCCCTCCTTGTTCACTGCTGTGGCCCTGTGCCCAATGTGTGCCCTGCAGCCATCAGGCACAGAAATGTGATTACAGGAGGCACATTACTTTTTTAAAATTATGTAGTAATTCATACAAAGCATATCAGGTCTACAGTTTCACTCTGGGCAGCTGAAAAAGCTCTGCAGGTGGATGGAGGTAATGACTGCACAGTATGAATGTGTATGGTGCCAAAGAACATACACTTAGAAATGCTTAAGATGGTAAATTTTGTATTTGTTTATGTTTTATATTGTTCAGCAACACACTGCAGCAGAGGCAAAGGACATTGTTGGTCTGAGTGTGGCGTCACACACCTGTCATCCCAGCATTTGGGAGGCTGAGGCTAGAGGATCATTGTGAATTCAAGACCAGCCTGGGCTACACAAGCAAGTTGAAGGCCAGCCCATTGAGACCCTGTCCCCAAAATATATTCTGGCCAGGTGTGGTGGCTATAATCCCAACACTTAGGAGGCTGAAGCAGAAGATCACATAATGAGACTCTATATTAAAAAACTAAAATAAAAAAAAAAAATTCCAGTAGGAAAAGTAGTTTGCAATGTTCCAAATAGAAAAAAACACAGAGATCTTGGTGTCTACTACTTTGTTTTGTAACTGAGGTCTAGACTTAGAAGATGATTGTGATAGTTACTTTTACTAACTCAAATGTACAAGCTATTCACATTAGTAATCCCAGCATACCTGAGGCTGAGGCAAGAGAATCACCATGAGCTTGAGACCAGCCTGGGCTGTGAAGTGAGCTCAAGCCTAGCCTGAAATACAAAGCAAGAGCCTGTCTCAAGAAACCAAAACACAAAATAAAAAAGGTAGGCTGGGGATATAGCTCAGCAGTACAGCACCTGCCTGGCAACAGAGGTCATGAGTTCGATTCCCAGTACCAGCAAAAAAGTTATACCACTCCATGCTTTGATTTGTCTCATGCAGACAAAATGTTGCTCATGTAACAAATTCTGGGCAACTTTTTTTTTTTTACAGTAATACAGGAATCAAATTTTACCATCTGTTCTATAATTAAATAACATCTGCTTAGACATTCGGAGTAGTTTTAAAATTGCTAGTTTGCTTTTTGATTGAACCACTACTTTTTTATTCCTCTACTCCCACTGCTAAACTTTTGATATTTGTATTATACCAATGGGATGCTAGCCTTACTTATCAGAAGGGACACAGGGAAAAGGGAGTTTCAGTCCTGCATTGAACACTCGCAAACTTAGGTTTTCTCTACTGTCTTTGTAAGCAAAACAGTGCACCACAGCAAGCAGCATTCATTTCCAATAACATCAACTATGCCCTTTGCAAAGAAAGCAGATGTGCTTAGAATCCTTTTGATTTTTAAAATCAGCACAAAAGTTTGTTTTTTAAAAAATTTTTCCCAGTTGTTTTATTATGGTAAATTCATCTCAATTTTTTTTTTTTTTTTAACACAGATCTCATCATTTAATTCAGGCTGGACTTGAGCTTCCTAAATAGCCCAGCCTGTCCTCAAACTTGTGGCAGTCCTCCTGCCTCAGCCTAAGTGCTAGTATGTGCCACCAAGCCTGGCTTGTCTTTACACTGGTTATAAGTATATTCATTATGCAGACAACCAACAACAACCATTTCCAAAAATGTTTTCCTCTTGTACAACTGAAATTCTATACCTTAAACAATTCCCATGTTTTCCTCCCCTAACTGCTGGCAACTGCCATTTTTGCTGTCCCTATGATTTCAACTACTCTGCGAAGGTCACAGAGTAGAATCACACATTTACTCTTGTGGCTACGTATTTGGCATACTGTCTTCAAACTTGATCCACAGTATAATATATATATATATATATCAGTTTCTTTTCATTTTAAGGCTGGTTAAATACTCCATTGTATTGCGGGCCACCTTCTATTCATCAGTTCATCAACAGGTAGATACTGGGTCACTTCCACCTTTGGCTCTTGTGAATAACGTTGTTGTGAACATCAACATACAAATTAACTACTCAACTCCCTTTCTCCTGGGTTCCCTGCTGTTAATTCTTTGGGGTATTTATCCAGAAATCCCAAGAGAATTTTTTCAAAAAATATAACTAAATCTTCAATGTTAACTGTATATAAAATCATATATATCCATCTTATGCTCATTATAATTTGATACAGCTATATTATTGTCCTTAATGAATAAAAAAATTGAGGCACAAAAAAAGTGGGAAATTTACCCAGGTCACACAGCCGTGAGAAATGTTTTCTATACTTCTAGAGTACATGACCTTCCCATCTATCGTTACCTGCTTCTTTACATTCAACTCCATGTAAGACAACCATTTCTACGCTTTCTCAGCTTTACATCTCTAAATTCCCAGTATAGCTTTTCACCAGCACTTTATCATTATTCTCTCTCTAGTCCCTTAAACACACAGCTCCATGATTTCCATGAGGCCCTGTGCATAGGTGGCTCTGACTTTTTTCCGAAACTTAAATGTTGATACACCTCAATTAAGGCAGTGCTATTTCCTACTATATAAAATGTCTACTATAAGTAAATGTCTCAGCTGGCGGTGCTATATAAACAGCTGTCATGGGGCTGGGGAGATAGCTCAGTGGTCTAAGCATCTGCCTGGCAAGCTCAAATGCTCAGGTTCAATCCCCAGTGTCACATGCCGTGCTAGCCCTGCACCATGCCAGCCACTGAAATCAGGCATGGTGGCACACACCTGTAACCCCAACACTGGGGAGGCTAAAACAGGAGGATCACTACAAGTCTGAGCTGAGTTGCAAGACTCTGTATCAAATACATAAAAAATTTTAAAAAACAAACAGCTGTCACATCACCAATTTTGCAGCCTGAACTCTGACCACAAAGACCACACTTCATTACTTGGCTCCTTACCCCATCCCAAAAGACAGCAACACTGTGTACAAGATGTAGAGATTTAATATGCTCCTTCTAAAAATCTCTCACTATTCTTACCAATGAGTTTTATGAAACTGTAAGTCCCAATAAAAATATTTTAAAATTTGACATTCACATATTTAAAATATTTAGTTGTACTTAACTTATAGTATCTTCATTTGAGTCCAAAAAGAAATATTTGTACAAGATTAGAATTCAAACCAGGTATCATTAGCACACACCTATAACACTAGCTCTATAGGAGGCTGCGGCAGGAAGAGCCCATGTTCAAACTCAGTCTTAGCCATTCTGTCTCAAAATTAATAGGGCTGGGATGTAACCCTGTGCAATGGCCCTGGTTCAACCCCCGGTAATGTACCCTACCCCGAAACCCCAGAAAAAGAATTAGAGTCAATATGATAAAGGTCAGAATAGAAAATAAGATCCCTCAAATTTATCATTAAAATTATCACATGCACTGGTGTCAGTAACTATCCAATGTGCCAGCTATCAGGTACTAAATCTCCAAGTACATCATAGGCAGGCTGTCCTCAGGGTATGCTGATAAGTTACTTAGGAGATGAGGTAGCCAATTCCGCCCCACAGAAAGCAAGTTCCATGCTGTAGCACTGAAAGTGTTCAAGGACATCTGGCCTGAAACACTAAAAAGCATTTTTGGTCACATGCAGGTAAAAGGATGTTTAAACAAGCTATGTTTCAACTTGATAAAAAGGACATCCGTTATTTTCAATGTATAATCCCCAAGGTGAAAATTTTCAGCCTACTGCCATATTCCATCAAACAATGTTTTCCCCTCTGCCATCATCTTGGAGGAAATCCAATTAGAATTATTTACAGAATCAGCTTCCAGTAAAAGAGAAGTCCGTAGGTTGCTTTTATGTAATTTGTTATTCTTCTCCTTATGTCCCTATAGAACATACAGAAAACCCAATTAAAGGCCTCAATTTTTACTTCTTTTCCTAATATTTAAGCAGTATATCTCCAGTCCTAGTATTCATCAAAAAGCACATTTCAAAGTAAACAGGTAGGCCGGCGAGATAGCTCAGTGGATTAAAGTGCCTGCTTAGGCAGATGCAGCAACCGGAGTTCAATCCTGGCTTCCTGGGCCGGCTGTGCCGACCCCACCCCCAGGGCACACTGAGATGGCAACTGAGACTGAGCATGGTGGTGCACGCCTATAATCCTAGCGCTTGAGAGGCTGAAAAAAAAACAGGAAAGATCACTATGAGTCTGATCTGTGTAGTGAGACCCTGTAAACCCTGTACTAAATACATTAAAAAAAAAAAAGAAAGAAAGAAAGAAAAAGAAAACCAGGTAAGACAGTGGTTTCCCTATACACTCAAATCTCACATGTTCCAATCTTCTTTGCGGCTCTTAATGTGTTTTTAGAAAACTGGTTATCTCATTACTCATCCATTCTGCTCCCAGATGCATACCCAAAAGAAGAACTATGTGCAGGGTACTCAAAACCTCAGATGATACTTTGTTTTTCTTTCTACAGTAAAAGACACATTGGTACTATTCCCCCTCACCTGAATATACTACATTGTTCTTGTCATTTTCTGAATCAGTTCTAAAAATCCTCTTTTATGTCATGGCTTCCTCCACACCCTGAATCAATTCAAAATGTTTACCATTCACAGTCATTTTGACTTTGAGGAAGAGCAGAAAATCCTGTGAATAAGGTGGAAGAAAACACATCATAAGATTTTTATGAGCCTGCCTTTCTGTTAAATCTTACTTGTCAGCAGCGTTCAGTGTTGTTGTTTTTTTAATCACACCTCATAAACACAAGGAAGAACTGCTTCAGAAAGTGCCAAAAATTATGGGATGTGTTCAAGGTGGTGAGGGGAGC